TACGTATACCGCTGAGATAGTTGTTGCAAATGCCAGAGCCCAAAAAGTTCCGCTAAGGACAAAAGACGTCGATGGAAGTTCCATCATAGCCGCGAAAGTGTGTTGATGTACAGAATAATGACTCTCAGAGTTGTTGTAATCGTAACTTAAGTATTACTCACATGCAGCTACGGCAATGCTTTCTTTATAGATCACGAGATGTGCTCAATTGATTTAAGTGCATCCACTGCATTGATCTCATGCATTCATCAACTATGATTCTGCGTACGAGTGATGCTCAGTGATTGTGAAGAATCAAGAAATAATCATGAAGTAATCATGAAGAAAGAAACATTATGAGGTGTACAAATTGACATAAGAAGGTGATACAATAATCGACACTGTACGGAACCTTCCCGGCTGAGGTACCACTAATGTATGGTTCACCCGTGATATCTCTTGGTCTGTCCGACGATAGCCGAGAAACATATCAAACGATCTAACAAAGGGACATGAAACTACTGCGCCCACAATCCATGAACACGGATTCCTCCCGCACGTTGAGGTTTGATGCCGTAATTGCGAAGTACAAAGCCGAAGGAAACCTTGAACTACCATAATGCGGGGATTCTGGGGTTGTTTTTACGTAGAAGGTGCAGGTGCGAATGTGTCCTGCGTATTAGTAATAGGGAGAAGCTAGTCTCATTGTAGTTACTTATACGAGAATCCAGTACCCGACAAACCTTTGGAAGACATAGTATCAGCCTCAAGCAACAAAAGATACCTATACGAGAGATTTGAAATTGCTGGATGAGGTTTGGAACCGAAGAGTTGTGGGGAAAATTGACGAATATATTTTCTCTGCGGGGAGCCGAATTAGTCAGCGACAATTCCTACCCATGTTGTGGAGAGCGAGGATCCTCCACAATAGCGCTACCCCATAGGGAGTTCACATAAGTTCCGATCGAAAGGCAAGCCCGTCAGCCCTAGGATAAATTTAAGAAGGATTCAGCGACGATATAGAAACATCAAAGCGTCCCTAGCATATATTATATAAAAAATACGGTCGCTTCCCGGACTCTCCTCCATACCTCGGTACCGCCCCTTCATCTCGGATGAGCCGAGAATTCTGCAGAAAACCACGACATGTGTTTCAAACGTGTCTCATTAGAACATAACAACTACAAAAGAAACATTTTGTTGCACGTCTGCGACAGCTGTCAAATACTCAAAAGTGGATTTTAGTGGGCGGATTTGTCGTTTGTTGCACATCTATGACAGCTGTCAGACGTGTCAATTGTAGAGTGGGGTTTCGCAAGTGGTGATTGAAGCTATCCAAAAAATTAGTATTTGCCGCAAAATCATTCAAATTTCGCACCCAGGCGATGGAGGACAGTTCCAATAGCCAATCGTAGTAAACATGGTTTCATTTTATTCCTTAAGATCCATTTCATACCGCAACAACGGTGTCTAGTCTATCCCAATATTTCCAAACCCCAAACACCTCATCAATCATCCATCGCATATAATTCTTTATGGTAGGCAATAACCACCATCACAAATGATATCAGTTCCAGTGCAGTAGCTTGAAGCATCACTGGCGAGGAAAAGGAATGCACCCTTCAACTCATGAGCCTCTCCTTCTCTACCCATGGGAATCTTATCCTTCCAAGTAGCCTTCGTTTCAGGTGGACAGAATTCAGAAATCTCAGTTGCAATGTAACCAGGGGAGACGGTATTGGAGCGCGCGAATCCAACCCATTCTACTGCGAGAGATTTACCTGTCATTCAATTAGCATTTCGTAAGTCGAATTTGGAATGTATACGAACATAAATGGATGACACCGGCCTTTGCAGCATTGTATGCAGCTTGCAACTGGGGAATGTTGACAATGTGGCCACTCATACTTGCGGTTGCCACAAAGCTTCCATACTTGAATCCTTCCAGTTTCTTTCCGTCAATAGTAGTACCCTCTTTCTTTTGTCTGCGCCAATGCTGGCCTGCAGCACGAGCACAGTAGAATGTTCCATCTAAATCTGTTGTTACAACCTTCTTGTAATGATCCAATTCTCCGTCAAGGGCAGGACCCTGTATCCATGGAATTCCAGAGTTTGCGATAAAGATATCGAGACGACCATTGAGATCAGTTACGGCGGTGTTGACAGCCTGTTCCACGGCTTCGTATGAGGTAACATTCACTTGGTATGCTTTGCCTATTTGATTGAATTGCGGTTAGGAATAGTCGCTACGTGAACCTGACTGATTTCGGTATGTGCGAGTACTTACAAGTAACACCGTATTCCTTCTCAATTTTCTCCGCCTCTTGAATAGCCTTCTTGTTGCTATTGTACCAAATAGCGACATTAGCTCCAGCTTCAGCGAGCGCATGCGCAACGGCGAGTCCGATACCTGCGCCTGCACCAGATACGATGGCAGTTCGTCCTTTCAGTGAAAACATGGGCAGCACCTTGGATGTATATGTGGGTGCCTCAGTGAGGTTGTGCTTAAACTTTCCATCGTTCATTGCTTCGCCGGCCATTATTGCGATTTGAGGTGTTTGTAGTTTAGAAAAATGGGAAGGGTGGTGATTTGTACTGAGGAGGGCAGAGTTGATGAGACGAGCTTGTGTTTTGAGAGCGAACAAAGGTAGCAGACACGGAAGTAGATATGTAAAAAGCTATTCACATGCGTGGATAGTGGGGTCGCACGGTAGACATGTCGTCCTAGCTTGTGCTATCTTAGCAAGGAAGATTGTCAGGGCATGGGTGGAGCGATCGTGCGAAATATATGCATTGTAAGGTGTGTTGACCAATTATCACGCAGCTGAAAGTGGGAGGAGGGGTAGGAAATGCCGCGATTGTCCGTCACAGTACACTAGTAGACAGTAGTTGATACATCCCGCCATTCTGAAAGGTGTCTTCATCGAAAAGCTTCTGCGGATGACCTCAATTTGGAGATTCCGCCGACAGAGGTAGTTGAATGAGCGATGTTGATGTCATGTTTGTTAATAAGAACAAATGATGGGAATTCTTCGGAATTGTTTACCCCTGAGGCTAACCCCACATTGCCGTTTTTACATGTTATCTTTAAGGTTAGCGTTATTCCATGATCATGCATTTAATTCTCCGCAAATTGTCATTTTTTCGTATCACGATCGAATTCACTTGTAATTTTGTCTCTAGGTCTGGAAGAGGCAGGTGTGAAGAGATTTTCGTATCCCACCGATTAGCTCAGGACCTCATATTGAGCCAGGTAACGCGGCAAACATAGCTTATCAATCGGAGCATCGTTAAACCTTCTTTGATTCTTGCTGAAGACCCAAAAGTATTTGTGGTAGACAGAGAATACCAAAAAGGAATCGATAATACTCGCGATGTAGAATGAGAGGAAGTGAAAGAAGGGGATAAAGGGTAGTATGGTTAATACATGCAACTCAAGTGAGAGTCTTGCTTCTGCGTCAGTACCAACAGTTGGATGGTAGTTTCTGAAGAAGTACTACAGCGAGTGGCAACGCTTAGCTTGGAAACATGCGGCTTAGTCTATCTACAATCTTTTGTCAAGGTTCTATCTGCCCGGTAGTCCGATGTCAGTATAGAAGCTCTAGCATCCTTACTTGTAGCTATGCCGCACTCGATAAATGCAAGGAACAGCGCATGGAACCACATCGTAGTGCTTTTCTTTACGTTGGTAGCTTCCGCTGTTGAAAACTACAGGATATGAATAACAAAATGATTCCATGAGACGAGAAGAGTTGCTACCAGAGCTTTAGTCCTAGAAAATAGTGCTAGTTAGGCGGACTGATATAACAAAATTACGGAGGGGAACATTCTTCATTAGCCCAATCTCACAAAAATACGACTTTTCCGCTCTTCTCACAACATGTGAGGCTACAGGCCTAGCAGTGCTCGGTCGTGCTCGGCTTACTTACCACGATCACTGTAAGGGATCGAATGGCCAGTATAGGATTCGTCAACGAGTAAGTCAAGGGTGAAATTACTGCCATGGGAAACTTTCCAAGATAGTAAACAAAGCTCTTTTCGCCTGCCAAGCCAAATAGAAAGAAATTATTCTAACAAATTCTGAGAATCACTCGAAATATTTCGTAACATTTCGATGGACACAAGAGATGGATAAAATGTAGCTATGCTAATGGATCATGTCTGTCCGATTCCATCGACGTCAAGGCCTACAAAAGTGTTGAACATTTCTCTACAAAAGACTGCGTGGGATGAAACCGAATACTTGAATTGTTAGGTTGGAGTCTCGAAACACTGGCTCTTTTGCTTTCAGTTCGCTGTATTTATGCTACATGCTCATGATCTTTGTTGATGATTGTGCTATTTCAAATTTGCTATTTGCATCGCTCTACACTGTGGTCAGTTTTTTTCTAGAATTTGCAGATCTACTAATGTAATAAGACTCTCCTTAAATTCCAACTGATTAACCGAAGTCTCTCTCTCTCACATATCTTCTCAACACTTCCACCATATCACGAATGAGCAATCAGGTGATACTTCTAGATTCCGCTGTACATCGTAGACAAAAATCTAGAATGTGACCCACACCCCCACCTGCCCCGCGACCCCACACCCATGAAACCACACCAGACTTCCCCAAACGAGAAGCTCCGACGCCGCCTCGAGGCCGCTCCGCCCTACCATGAAGCCATCCGAGCATTTGTCTACTCCGCCCGAATAGACACGTCATATCCGAACACTATACACCGCTGGATAGAAACGACTTTTGATATTACGGCCCGAATACATTCACATAATCCCGCATAGTGTGCATTTGTTTCGTAATCTGTGACCCTTTGAGCTCCCGTGTCATCATCTAACATGCCTTATTTCTCTTCTCTGAATCCCTGAAAGTTTTGGCTTCTTTCGCTCAGATCATTTCAAAAACCGGTTGTCTGCTCTTCAGAAGACTTGCAACCTTACAAAGCATTCGAGTGAATAAATATAACATGTTCTTGCCCTTTCAATTGTACAAGAATCAATCCTAATTAACGTTCATCCCACGCTGAATCTCTGCCTTTCGGGTGTACAGAGTGCATCATCGTTGTGTACACAGTCGAGCATTCTGGTATCTTCTACACGCATCTCCTGATGCTTCAATTTGACTTTCATAGACTTTGGAAATAAGTGCAATGAATCGATCTCGTCGTGGCTATGATGCTCGAAGCGATACAAAATAATAAGGCTGGATGAAATTCTGGAAACCATATCATAATCACAATGGTAGCCAAAAACTACAGCGCAGTCCTGTGATCACCAGCTGTTGCTCTCGCAACCGAGCCGTTCATTCGCCTCTTGTGCTGGATTTTGAAGCAAGTTACATAGTCACTTTGGCATTTTCAAGTCGACTGTCAACCAAATTCAGCTATAAATGAAATCCTTGGCACTCGCGTCGAGGAAAGCTTTCTAAAAGAGCCAAGTGCCAGATAAAGGTTTCCCCTCCACGGGCATGCAAAGTGCCATAGAGGCGAGGGATAGTGACGGCGACCTGAAAAGAAATGCTACTTAGACACAAGTGAATGTGCTTCGATGATATGCATATTTTTCTATAGTCTCCATGGATCGACCGGCCTTTTCCCTCTATTAACAGGTTTTGACTATTAGAGCGTTTATTCGCATGCATAGTGCCATCGGATGAATCATGATACACAAGGAACTGCGGTCTGAGCGAAGCTGATCACGTACTCGAACACGTGTCGTGGCAACTCACCTCTTGAACATGGCGAACGTTTAGTCGAGCTTAGACAAGGAAAACAGATGCTCTTGAGTCTTGCATAGTATTCTCAGCACTTTCCCAAGTGGCGCAGCTTATAAAGATAAAAGATAGTAAATGAAAGTATGACAGCTTGTAAGGAGACACAAGTTCATTGAATAGCTGTCGTCCTATAACTTTGCAATGCGATTTTGGTGATGGGTAGTAGTGATAACCATTACCTCATTTCTTTACTAGAAACAAATCCCCAAACAATCTGTGCTCAAGTTTATTGAGCAATCATCTGTTCTGCTGACATGCCATCATCTCCTAGCACTTTGGCCTTCTGCAAAGTAGCCACAGTCTTCTGGATAACCGCTAAATCTACGTTCTTTGTGGCACTTGCAAATCTGACCGTCTTCAACCATTCATTTGCATCCTCCTCGCTGTAATCCAACGAAGTGCTGATATATTTCACCGCCTCAGCCTGGTTCTTCTCGAAATATCTAACTCCCTTGTCGATTTTCTCAAACAAATCGTCCAACCTCTTATCTTCTGTGCTTTGAAGGACTTTTGTGCTGGCAACAATTTTCCAACTGCTCCATGGTGTATATATTTCCCCGATACGTTTGATCTCTCCATTGTCGTAGTATCGTTTGGAGGTAAAATGTTCCCACATGAAGAAATCCACTGTGCTATCGTTCACACCGTTGCGCAGTTTCTCGAACGTTTGTAAAGGAACGACCTCGAATGGTCCCTCTGACGATTGACTTTCGTTGAGCCAACCTTGCTCATCTGCAAGAACAAATCCCATCACATAGCTTCCGCTCCCGATTCTTGAGACTCCAATCTTGCCGTTCTTCAGATGTGCGATGCTATTCAATGGTCTGTTTGCGCCGGTCGAGATCGCCCAGCCTGTTTAATTCAATCAATCTGTCTGTACCATACTTGTAGAATATGCGCCTCAGAAAAGGAAAGACATACACAATGGCGTTTCAACATAAGTCCCGACAATTCTATATCCTCCATCTCCTTCCACATCAGATTTCCCCAATCCAGCTACCCAACCTTCAGTGAGACCAATACCTACATCGATTTCTCCCGAGCGTATAGATGTAATCATATGCCCAGTGCCAGATGGGAATGGGATAAATTCGGCTTCTAGACCGAAATGCTTTTCCGCAAAGTGAAGAGGGGTAGAAAAGTGCTCAGGGACGTATCCAATCTTGAGAGGGGTTTGAGTCGCAGACATGATTGGGAGCTAATTCCAGTCGCAAGTTTATTGAGGAATAATGAGTATTTTTTGATGGAGCCTCGATTAATACGTAGCTATATAGTGAAGTGATAGAGAATACCTAGTAAAAGAGCTCAAGACGGATTTCGAACGGGTATTCACCGGCATGGCGGGGTAAGTTATAGTGATCATTGCGACGCTAGAAGTTTCAGGTCTCAATTTTAGCGTGATTTTTCAGCCACACCTCCAGACCGCCACAACCTTCCATTGTCTCCGGGGATCCCAACCATCCATCTTCGACCTCCAGCTGTACCTTATCTCTTCCCCACGATTTAACACAACAACCTAAACAATATGGCTTCAGCTACTGCGCAGCGTCGTCTTCTTCAGGAATATCGCGCCCTTACAAATAACCCACCAGACGGTATTACTGCAGGTCCGGTGACAGAAGATGACTTACTTTGCTGGGAGGCTTTAATAGAAGGGCCAGAGGGTACGCCGTTCGAAGGGGGAGTGTTCGCTGCCGAGTTGCAGTTTCCCAAAGACTATCCACTTTCTCCGCCGAGTATGAGGTTTCTTGGGGAAGTTTGGCACCCCAATGGTATGATCTCCTTTCTTTTTTCTTTACTCCGACATCAACGATGTCCGACACATCGTAGCTTGGAGAGTGCAATACTGATACGTGCTATTATTAGTCTACCCCAGCGGTCTTGTCTGTATATCTATTCTCCACCCGGCTGGAGACGATCCGAACCACTATGAACATGCATCGGAGCGATGGTCACCCATACAAAGTGTCGAGAAAATCTTAATAAGTGTGATGAGTATGTTAGCGGAACCAAATGATGAGAGTCCAGCAAACGTGGAAGCTGCCAAGCAATGGAGAGAGAACAGGGCGGAATATGAACAGAAGGTTCGCGACGGATGTAGGAGAATGCTAGGATTGTAATACCGTCTGTGAATGAGGTCTTGAATTCTATGTTCATTGATTTGGGAGAAGCCGGGCTATATATACTGGCCCATGTAACGAGTCACAGGTCACTTACGGGAGACGCTTTACTTCCTAAGGCCACTCTCAAAATCGCATGGCATGTAACATGAGACTAGGGTTGAATTACATATACAGAATACTTACCACGGAAACGGAGTTTTGGAAGCGTATCGAACTACGTATCATTCGATACTAGGTGATAGGTCAAAAATGCGGGCTATACAACATGGAAATACGAGCATCATTAAGATTAATTAGCAACATTATTATGGGCTTGAAAATATTCTACGCCTCTAAATGACCAGAAGTTTCACGGTGAAGAATATTATGTAGCCCAGTACAGAAGTTTCTCCTTAACACATTCCCAAGTATGAGTATTTGTACTTTAGTTGTTACCATTGCCAACCTGGAAGTCTAAGAGGTCGTTCCCCTTTCGCTGAGTCTCGTGTTTCAACCGGCGAACAGCCTCAGAAACGCGACTACGAGTAAATGATTGGATGCAAGCGAGTGTCGAAAATGCAACCAGGTGGGCCAGAGATAAGATAACTACCTAGTACTATCTGGCTATATAGCAACGCTTGCTAATTCAAAAGCAGAAATACAGGGCGCAGACAGAATCAAAGGAAAATCTGGAGAAAAAATAAGGAGTGGTCGAGTCAAATGCCAGAGGAAGAGGCGCTGGGATTATTCTGTGAATATGCAAGTTAGAATTTAACCTACTTAGGTCCAATAAAGCTCAGTGTATATCTCGACTTATGACCAGATGAAATTAATTACGCCTTTATGGAGTATGTGGTAGGAGCCTTGCCAATTTTTGATAGTTTACGGGGCTGATATCTTAGGAAACTTGATCACGATGCTGTGAGCTGGTCAATTGCTCGCGGAGATAGACATCCTAAATAGTCAAACAAGTATCAAGCAATTCTGAAAATATGTCTTCTCGCATTCTCAGTGAGTTTGATGCGTGACTGCCAGGTTTCGCTAGAAGGGGAGGCCGCGATATCAACTAAGAAGTAGGGTTACATTGGCACCCAACTCTGCCGGACACTTGACGTGTTCTTCAATCTATACCCAATTGATACCAGCGACAACCAATAGAGACGGGAAGTCTTATTTGCACTTCACTGTGGCTTAGCTATGCGAGTCAAACCCAACTTATCCGCCGAATTTGCCTCAGCCGCGTTCTGTCGATTGATTCATATACGATGTATATCTTTCTCACCATTCCACTCTCCACATGAGATCGTGTATCAATCAATATCGACATGAGCTTTGGTTTTGGTATAGGCGACATCCTCGCGGTGATCGAGCTTGCCAAGAAGATACGAAAAGATTTCGCAGATGCTCCAAGTCAATTTAAGGATATCTCACTCGAGTAGGTGGATCTGATCACGATTTGAATTACAAAAGCTTATTGAGATCTGCAGGGTGCGAAGTCTCTCCATTGTACTTCAGGATATCGAAGATGAGCTATCATTGCCGGACCTCAATGCCAAACAGAAGAGTGAACTCAAAGAAATCATTGTCGGCTGTCGAGATGTTCTTGAGAAGTTGCAGCAAGCGTTGAGCACATATGGCGAATTCAAATCTGACTCTAGAGGTGTGGGCTGTAAGGCGAAAAGAATTTGGAAACGGTTTCAGTGGGAGCCTGATGATATCAAAGAGTTTCGAAGTCGTGTTACAACAAACGTTACTTTTTTGAATGCATTTCGGGGGAAATGTACCAAGTAATTACGTCCTTCGTATTGGAATCTCCGACTAATACAATCTAGTGAAATACTACATGAGATAAAGAACAGCGCAGACCAGTTTCATGAACGACAAAATGATCGGCAATTCAACGAGAAATCTTTAGCGATTTTGAATTGGCTTACGCCAATCAACCATGCATCTCAACAGCATGATTACATCACACAACGGCAAATAGATACAGGAAAATGGCTTCTAGATTCGCCAGTCTTCATAGAATGGGTAAATTCTGATAAGCAGAAATTGTTCTGTCCAGGTATCCCTGGTGCAGGTAAAACGATACTTACATCAATTGTTGTTGAAGAACTCAATACCCGCTTTCAAAACGACAAAGGTATTGGAATTGCGTACTTCTATTGCAACTTTCGACGCCAACATGATCAAAAGATTGATGACTTGTTATTAAGCCTTCTCAAGCAGCTCTCCAGATACCAGGCTTCACTACCAGGTGCAGTGAAGGATATGTTTGATCTACACTCACCCAGGCAGAATCGCCCGTCGACAAAGGAAATTTCTAGTGCCCTCAAGTCTGTGATCGATTCGTATTCCAAGGTTTTTATTGTCGTTGATGCTCTCGATGAATGTCAAATGACCAACGGTTGCCGAATGCAATTTCTATCAGAGATTTTCGATATTCAGGAGACATATCAGCTAAGCCTTTTCGCAACCTCGAGACATATTCCCGACGTCGAAGAAAGGTTTGGTGGCTCTTTGCGGTTGGAGATTCGAGCCAGTGATAAAGATGTTGAGAGGTACTTAGACGGTCGCATTTCGCAGTTACCTGAATATGTACGCAAAAGCACGGGCTTACAAAATGAGGTCAAGACTGCAATCGTCAAAGCAGTTGATGGAATGTATGCAACTCATCCCAATCCTAGCGGTAGACAATGCTTACCTATAGAATTTAAAGGTTTCTGCTTGCTCGACTTAATTTCGATTCTTTAAGAGGGAAAAAGTCTCCAAAGGTTATGCGGAACGCTTTGAATAGTCTTCCAACTGGATCCGACGCATACAGAGATGCGTACAAAGATGCTATGAAAAGAATTGAAGGACAGCTGGATGATGAGAGAGACCTTGCAAAGCAGGTTCTTTCGTGGATTACTTGTGCAAAAAGGCCTCTGACAACAGCAGAACTTCAAGAAGCTATTGCAGTAGAGATTGACGAGACAGAGCTTGACCAAGAAAACTTTACTGAAATCAACACAATGATTTCTGTATGTGCCGGACTGGTGACTGTTGATGAAGAAAGCAAAATAATCCGCTTAGTCCATTATACTACACAAGAATACTTCGAGCAAACGCGAGACAAATGGTTCCCTGATGCAGAAACCTTTATTACTACAATCTGCGTTACATATCTATCATTCGAAACTTTCAATACCGGTTTCTGTCTATTGTATAGAGACTTCGCAAAGCGGGTACGGTCTCATCAATTCTCCATGTATGCCGCACGATTTTGGGGGCATCACGCTGGTAAGGCTTCAATTTTAGAAAAAACATTAGAGCAGGCGCTTTTGAAATTTCTCAAAAACCAAGCAAAGGTCGACGCATCATGGCAATTAATCAATTCTAATGATGTACCGGAATCATATGTCGACCAGGGCTCGAGTCCCAGGTATTCAGGCTCTTCCTACGGCCAACGTGCGGGAAGAGGATTGACAGGAATGCATATAACAGCGTTCTTTGGACTCGAAACTGTTATACAACTGTTGCTTGATTCGGGCAAACTCGAAGTCGATCCAAGGGACTTGTTAAGCGAGGAATCGGATTTTATTCCTTATCCCAATCTTGTTAATCACGGTCGAACGCCACTCTCTTATGCGGCGAAGAAAGGGCATGAGAAGGTAGTGAATCTCTTGCTTGATACTGGCAAATTTGAGGTCGATTCTATAGATAAATTTCATCAGACGCCACTTCATTCCTCGGTTGAGAGCGGGAATGAGAACGTGGTAAAGCTTTTGCTTGACACAGGCAAAGTTGATGTCAATTTCAAAGATGGCCAAGGTCAGACGCCGTTCTATAAGGCGGCCACATCCGGGAACGAGAATGTGGTAAAGCTATTTCTTGAAACAGGCAAAGTCGAGATCGACACAATCGATAACTTTGACGAAACACCACTATTAGGTGCTATTCAAAATGGACACGAATCAATAGTGAAGCTGCTACTAAATACAGGCGCAGTAGACATTAATCAAAGTAATTACGTGCACCGAACGCCAATCTCATTTGCTGCTGAAGGAGGCTTTGAATCTATAGTAAAGCTACTTCTCGATACAAATTCAGTCAATGTCAATATTATTGATAGTTATCACGGAACGCCAATCTCATATGCTACTAAAAGGGGCTTTGAATCTATAGTAAAGCTACTTCTCGATACAAATTCAGTTAATGTCAATATTATTGATAGTTATCACGGAACGCCAATCTCATATGCTACTAAAAGGGGCTCTGAATCTATAGTAAAGCTGCTTCTCGATACAAATTCAGCTGATGTCAATATTGCTAATAGAAATCGACGAACGCCAATCTCATATGCTTTAGAACAAGGCTATGAATCCATAAGAATGCTCTTATTGAGTACAGGGAAAGTTGATATCAGTTACCTGGATCCTTCTGGTATGAACATATTCTGGTGGGTAGCTTGTTGGGGTCGTGAGCCCATTGTAAAGCAACTGCTCGATACAGGTTTCAACCTGCCAATTACACAACCAGGGCCTGTGGAGGGAGTCTGGTGGGAGGACGAGGGGAAGGTGAAACTTCTGATTAAGAGATACACTGATATGAAAATTGACATTCATCCTGCAACTGAAGAGAATATCCGAAAACTATGGCCAGGGGTCTTGGAAGACTCGCGAGGAGATTGGAATGAACAGTTGGAGAGCGTTATTTGTGAGGGAATGGCGTTTAAACGTATTATGAGCATGTGATTATAGCCAGCGCTGGCTGGGAGATACTGTTTGCTTTGTCATCCCCTGGAAGTTCATATCTTTGTATTTACTTTATCATGACTGTTTTTTTCTACCAAAATACTGAGGATTATTGCGCGATGACGGTAGTGTGATACAGTAAGCTTTTTATTAAATTTAGTCACTCCCCGTAATTCTCTTCCCCTCAATCAAGCGGGCGACATTTTGCTTGCCAAACCCAGTCAAGTTGAGTCTTCTACTACAAACTTCAATTGCAAACTACTAGTGAATATGTGAGCTGATATGGTCGTGTTTGCAATCCTAACTAATTGGAATGGACCATTCCACGCATGTTAAGAAATTCACGGATACATAGCATCAACTATGAAAGCTCTAGTCGAAGAGATCGGATGCCAAAGTTAAACATACCGTCGCATGATGATCACCGTATCATTTATCTCGAGATTTCTTTTTTCCTACAATTCTCTTCAGCGAGTATGTTGAAAGATCCGCGTATTCTGCCATAAATTGTCAGTCACGCCCTCCCTGAGCATTCTAGAAAGCGTATCGGTTGTCCTTCTACCAACATAAGCAGGAGCAATCATCACTCCGTAATGACACCACTCTTGCTGATGCTTTATAATATTTACCTGATTAATTTGCGTTGATCTATCATTCACTCTTACATGCACATTGTTCTTGGGAATTTATGGGATAAATATTTGGTAGGGCGGTGATTGACCGAAGTTAAAAGACTCGATTAATGAGATGTGGCAGTTGTGCGTTGATGAAAATACCTAGCAACTCATCACGCGAACGTTAGATTGAGAATCGTAAGACTTTAAAGAAGATCGTATGGATATATCTAGTACCCCGCAACTGGAGATGTATGCCGATCACCATAACACATTCACTATGGTCACTTATACCATAGATGGATATTTTGAGTGAACTTCATCACACGATCACATAAGACCACACAATCACTTCCTCTCCGTTTTCAATACTTTCGAACAAAACAAAATATCAAGGTTCTCTCTATTTCAATACAACGAATCAATAGCCTTTGGAACGGTCTCCAAAATAGGAGTTTTTCAAGATGTTCCTTCAGTCTGAAGAATCTCAGTTGGCGAATTTACCTAGTACACCCCTCATTTCTGTGCCCGGCCCACTCGAGGAGTTTACCCCATTCTCCCGATTACCTTTAGAATTAAGACGCAAGATCTGGGGATTCGCAGCTCTATCCCACCCAAGAATCTTTGAACTGGTATGGTGTAGCTCTGAAAATTACCTTCATCGATTGTTCAAAGTTTCGAAACAGACCAATAGTGTCCCACCAATCCTGGAAGTCAACAGAGAGGCCCGTGAAGAAGGCATGCGCACCTTCGAAAAGCGAGTATTCAATAATTGCAACACCAATACTGGAAGTCCTTTCAAAGTCGAAGGAGAAAAGCCTCAGTGTACATGGTTCAATCCCGATCTGGACACAATCTACTTTGGCGAAAATACATGTATTCGAATAGTTGCGGACTTCCTTGATTTGTACTGACAAACGAAACTTCCAAAAATTGCTTTCGCAACGAAAGCACATCTTCAAGGTTCCTGCAAATGTAATTGGATTTCTAGAGACTGGAATCCTGGTCACAGGAAGGTAACAAGTCTTCAAATTCTTCATGGCAAGCCTCCGAAAGATGCAAATTCGTCTATGTTCCCAGGCTCACCCAGCACAAGGGAGGTTTCCATCGTTCTCCCGTCTTTCATATACAGATATGCGGCAGGAGAAATGCCAAATACGATCACTTTCCGTCCTTCCGTTCATAATGTTCTTGAGATAGATGGTGTACGAATAGCTGCAGCATGGGCCAATGAAATCCATGAAATTCGATCCGGGCTTGACTTCGGATGGGGACCAAGCAGATGGAAAAATGACAGTTGTCCTGATTTCGATTTTGTTTCCTTTGCTCCAAGTTATAAAGATGGAAAGGGAAAGAAACTCAGACACGATGGTTTCCTGATGTCTTCGAAGGACTGTGAAAGAATCACTGCGCATGGAGGAGCATTTCTGGAGGATTTGAAGCTTCGTACTGGTGTTGATATACGAGTTGGGTATTGCAGCAACTCAGATGCTTACACTGGCTGGTTTGAGGCGGTGAACGAAGTCGGCCTTTTTAATGGAACTAATGAGGGTATTAAACAATGCGAATTCGAAATTTTGGCCCATTGTGTAAGTCAAACCATCAAGCTCTATCATGATCTCAACTAATATTTCTTAGCTTAATGCGAGAGATGAACCGGATGTTGGCATTGATATACTCTAGTATTACGGTGGCAAATTTTGGGGCTCTGAAATAATTCCTCATATTTATTAGCCACTTGAACAGCACAAGCAAAACGAGTTGTTGTTCAACATCTTAGATCCTAAGAAGCATTCAGCAGTCGTGATTAATAACATAGAAAAGAAACATAAGTACTCTAACATTTCCTTGTGCAATCTGCTCATGCAAATGGTGAATGATGTGTGAACTTAAGGATAACGTGAAAAATTTGTCATGAATGATGTGGTGAAAGCACTACAGCACCCTTAACTTTTGCTGAAATTGTATAATCTAGTCCTTAACCGGTTCCTACCATGCATTCAAGAAGGATTCACCATCCACATAGTAGCCATCAGATTCAATTATCTAATTATCGAATAAATATATTTGTACACTGTTGAAGTAATTAGATTCACCTTCGCAAATCCATATCTAAGTCAATGAAACACTTACAAATGAACTGCCACTAACGTGAACAACCGAGATTCAATAGTATCAATACATCCAAAGTAATAGCCAGCTGTATTGAAACTCGCTAACATGAAAGTGGCACCACTAGAGTCATTTCGCCAGTCCCCCAAAGTAATAAAGGTTTCTTGTTACATTGTCTACTTTCCTGAAAAATCATTACAGCTCCAGTTCGACTCTCCAGATCTTCTTACTCTTGACCTAGAAAAGATCAATCAAGACTTCAATGAAGGTCAAGAAAATATTACCCAAGACTTCAATGAACAATCGATTACCTCAACTTCTTTTTGAAAGTTTACCACAATACATTCTCTACTTTCAATAAATTTCCCCAAGGAACTAAATCGGAAAACACTCAAAATCACAAAGTCAGACAACATTTTACAAGATGTCTTTCTATGAACGCTTTTCCAACCCCTCCCAACCAGCACCAAGTGGAGTGGGAAGAACCAACGGTGGAGGAGGTCAAGGTGGACCATCCAATGGATCTGCTCCCACTGAGGGACAGAACCAATTCGATTCCACCGAAATGACAACCGCCACTAATGGTGGTGGTTCCTTACAGGTATGTCTTTGTTCTCTTGCTTATTCTTAGCCCTAATCATCATAGACCCCTGTTCAGAGACCCAACTAACAGCGTTCACAGAATACCGAAGCCCCTGCCCCAGCAACAGACCCCAAGGGTACAGGTAAAGGCAAGAAAAACAAGTGGGCAAAAGTCGACTTGAACGATATTGCACCAATGGCAGGTCCCTCTATTCCCGCGCAGCCAAACCTTAAGGGTGGAGGCAACTACAGGAAGGAACAATCCTTCGGTCTCCTCGTTGAGGACAATGTTGAAGCACCTCGTCCTCATGAGGGCCCTCATCGTGGTGTCAATATTGACGGAGAGTCACTTGGCGAGATCGCCGATCGCTTGAACAAGCTGGATTTGGAGAAGGCTAGGTACGTACACACTTTCTATTCACACATCACATGACATCTCCTTTCACCCATGACAGTACTAACAATACATCAGTAAGCCTTTAACGGAATTCAGACTCTTCCCGAAACTCTCGCCCGAACTGCGCTTCAAGAGTTGGAACATTGCAGCACGTTCCTTGTCGCCTCGAATCCTGGAAGTTGTATTGTATCCGGATTTTCCCTACCCACCAGGTGGCCAAAGAGATAACATTGACATGTGCGATCCCAATGGTTTGAGATAATTCAATCATAAGACATGGCACATCTCCACGCCTGGCCAGAAAGTCCCAGCCATATTACACGCCACTCGGGAATCGCGTTCCGAGGCCCAACGCGTGTACGAAAAGCGATACCTCAACAACTTTCCGGATAATTTCCCCTATCACCAGAATGACGAGCGTCCATGGACATACTACAACCCGTATGTCGATGTCATTTTCTTTGGCGATGGAATATGCATTATGCCGCTTGTCAGATTTTTCCGTCAACATTCCGAGGAAATCTTCCCTCGGCTAGCTTTCCGATGTGCGGAATTCATCGGTACTTGTAAGGAAAAATGTACCTGGGATACCTGGGAGTGGGGACACGGTGACGATTACAGTGACTGCCGTCGCGGAGTCGGCATTGGAGGCGGCGGTATTGACATCATGGGTATTCTTCACGGAAAATATCGGGAGATTGCCCTAAACTTGCTGGTTCCTGGAGTTCCGAGTGTAGAGGAGGTGTTTTTCGTGGTCAAGACGGAGTGCATGAAGTTCCCACCGGGACGGGTGCCCAGCAACTTGACCTTCCGCCCTGCCATACACAACGGCCTGACACGAAGTCAGCAGCGGAAGAGAACTGAATTTCAAGCTGAAGTTGACATAGCTAGGGCCGGAGAAGGCGTTCCTGGCTGTGGTACCAATAGATGGAACGACCATCCTCCAACTTTCAGCTTCGTCTCCATGGCTCCTCCATTAAAAGATGGCAAGGGTAAAGACCTAAAGCACGATGCAATCCATGTGCCAAGCGAGCAATTGGGTAAATTGACCTATCGCAACAACGAGTTCCTTATAGATTTAGCTGTCAAAGCTAATCTCGAGATCGTACCTAGCGCGAGAGCATACGCTGGTGAGCTGAATCGAGAAATCGGCTTGTACAATGGTACTGAAGAAGGCATTGAGCTAGCAAAGGAAGAGATCCAAAAGCAATTGGTATGTTGAATAGCCCTTGGAATACTGGTGGATTGATGCTAACACAGAATACAGCTTGTGGATATCAACGCCGATCGTCGCGGTTCCAACCACCAAGGTGGTTCTCGTGGTCGTGGTCAATAGACTGACTAAGCGGCAGATGGAGGTGTGAGGGGCTCAAATGATACATAGACGTTGAAGTCGAGGGCATCCGATTTTCTTGGGTAATATTGTCAAACATGATTTCCTGATGACAGAATGCAACCGTCTAGTATCCGTTAATCTGTTGTGGGAGAAAAAGTATCACTGCATAGAGCGTAGTGATTTCTGGGTAGTATACAATAACATTGTCTATCTGCAATCCATTGATCTCAACGCTTTGTGAAAAATGTGAGATCCACTTACTTAGATGATATCCCATAACAGTCGAACTCTGCAAGTCTCTAACATTTGAGTGATATTGGCACCACTCGAAAAGCCTGTGTATGATCTGGGCATGCGAAATCTAACTTTATTCCTGTATATGTGTCTTTATCTAAAGCAAATAACGCTTGTTAAACGCCCGTTCAATCTATATTTCTATATCCAAAATTTGTGTACATAGCCGGTAAATATTTTACAAGTCGCAATCATTCCAATCCGCAAATTCCCTGTCAAATAAAGTCAGTCAATAAGAATTTCAAGACTTAAAGAATATCTTACCACTCTTCTCTCCCTGAAATCATCATACAACCCCTCCCAAATATCTCTTCCCCTACAATCATCTCCTTCCGGCACCGGAACACACGTCGGCCCCTTTCCGATCCACTCCATGTCATCCAATTGCCACGGTTTCTCCAAAGGCCAATCGCTGAAATGAACAAACTTTGACTTCCGGAATACTTGCAATGGATCCCATACATCGGTTTCATGACCTTTTCCCCAGAAGCCTTTGTGTTTATCGACAGGTCTTCTAAATTCTCCTGTAAGAAGTGAGTATATTTGATGGTCTATTAAGCCACAGGAGTCTTTTTGCTGTGTGAGGACGGAGTTAATGATGTCCATGTCGTAGATACCCACACGGGCTTTTTTGACCTCACTTTCAAGCCGTAAGAATTCTGTGGTTGACGGTTTGATGAGCATTATGTGGGATGCTAATTGAGGTACACCTTCGGAATCAAGCCAGTATGCTCGTGGTGCAAGGAGTTGCGTTGAGTCCGACATTGGAGCAAGGAATAATTCATCCATGGATTTCAGAACAATTGAATCGGAATCTAGAACGAGAAGTCTCTCATGGGATGTCTGGTTGAAAGCTAAGAGTTTGGTGTAACTTTCCGCCCATTCATCTATTATGCATCAGCGATTAATGATCTCATGTCTTCATACGATATAGGAATAAGATTTATTACCCTGGCTACCATGTTTATGCTTCAGAATTTCCACATTCTTCAACTCCACTTTGTATTCATCTCTCGCCTGGATCAGCATCTCAGTGATAATATCCAGACCCTTCCCATTGACATCCTCGATCCATTCATCTCTCCATAATTGAGGATATATTAATACTCTTTCCGCTTTGCTCCCTAGCGTATTGAGCGACTCGAACAACATCAATGCATTACACAGATGATTTTGCGAGGTTGCATATGTAATGTATGCGTATTTGTTCCACTCAATTCCTGTCTCCTCGCCCGTCAGAGGCTCCACAACAACAGGAGCCTGTTTCAAGCATGCAGGAGTTTTATACTGAAGATGTAATTCTTTCGCTTTTCGTGTTCCATGAGGAAGTAATAAGAGTATAATCAGTCCACAAATAACGATGGGTATAGCTGTTCGTACAGGTCTTGACCGAAGTATTTGCGCGATACTTGGTTTGGCTGCTTTGGGAGGAGGTGGTTCGTCGACATCAAAATTTAGGACTGGGAGATAAGGCGAATTTTGCAAGAAATCTGGGAGATCGCGTGGTGCCTGATGCGACATACTCGATTAAGCTCAAAGAAGCTTCCAAAGATATAGAAGTATAGCCAAGGTGAGGAAACGCGTATCACGTGATAAGTATCAGAAATGCAAGATCCGTGAGTCTAAATCGAGAAAATGTTGATCTGCCTCTGTCAGACTGGTAGTTCCTTTATTTTGAGTTGAAGAATATACATACAGAAAATGCAAACCAAAAACAGTTCTAAATATCCAAAAATTCTAATTCTCACGGGATCACAAACTTTTCTCGGGCGTAAATCCCGATTGACAATAGAGCAAGCGGTCAAAACACAATGTCAAGAACGATTGATACGAGGAATCATCAGGTATGCGCCCGATAAGATGAGATGGTCAGCAGACCTCAAGATCCAAGAATAAAAATGATAAAGGGACTGTCGTGGAATCAATGGGACGCGTCAAATGGTGTTGGCTGTGGAGATGATTATTTTCGGACTTTAGTGCTTACTAAGTCGAGAGCTTGGTCTTCTTGATAGGATAGGGGTATCACGGGACTACAACAACGACAGCATCACTGATTGGAGGTGCGATTGTCCATTTCTGGGTGGTTCACGATTAAGTGATGCTATAATTTTCTATAGGATGGCTTAGAGATTGCATAAAGATTGTTTGATTTCCTACACCGCTAACCGCTACAAATAAATACTTTACAGAATTCAAAATACTCGCATGCAAATTCGAGATTTGGCGAACTTCATTTCATATCTAAGCCTAAGAACCTCGAAGAGATCACACACCTCTCACAATACGCCAATGCCCCCATCAAGCCCACTCCACTCCAACCTTGACACCATTCCCACTCTCCACGCTCAATTTGATCTCCTCCACCCACTCCGCAACTTCATCCCTGCACTCCACCACTTTCCACTCCTGTACCAATCTCGCAAGCACATATGCCATCTCCGTTAATCCCAGATTTCTTCCCGCACACATTCTAGTTCCACCTCCAAATGGTAAGTAATTCCATCCTGGCCTCAAATGTTCCCAGCGTTCTGGTCTGAACGCTTCGGGGTCGGGTTGATAACAAGGTGCTAGACGATGAAATACCCAACTGTTTGGAGTAATGAGAGTACCGGCTTTGACTAGAACTGGGGAAGTTCCTGAAGGGCCGCCACCGCGAGGGAGGATGGTATCGCAAACAGCTCCACGGGTTATGGTTGGGGCTATGGGGGTGAGACGGAGAGCTGGTCATTAATGTCAGCATTATGGTCACCTTTGTTCTCTTGATTGAACAAGGTAAAAGAGGAATAAAGTATGAAGAGAAAACCTACTCTCGTTAACAACCCATTGTAAATATCTCATCCCTTTCAAACTCTTAAATGTTAATTCTTCATCCTTCTCCCTATGTTCCGATACCTCTCTCCTCAGTTTCTCCCAAACCTTCTGATTTCTACATAACCAAAAAATCGCATTCCCAACCCCAATAGCCGTAGCTTCATGACCTGCCAAGAATACCTGCAAAGTTTGATTTCGGAGCTCTCGACGATCATCTGTTTCCTTGGCCATTTCGTGAAGGAGAATATAGCGATGATTTTCTTCTTCATCTTCTCCGTCGCTTGAACTTGACGGATCTGGATTCGTGCGTGATTTCCTGGAGGCAAGATATTCTCGGCGAAGCTCAAGTGCCTTATCAATATGTGCATCGACCAACTTATGAACTGCGCGTCTTTCTTTCTTATCCCAACGGTCTTGGTATAAGAATGATAAGGTACGGAGCTGAGATCAAATACTGATACCTCGTTGAGCATGATGGAAGGAGTTGAGAAATCTATGGGAATCAGAAGCTTCATCAGAAGATTCATCTAAAGCGTCGACAGATTGGCCAAAAATAAACTCGGTGGATGTGTCTAGAAACTGTTTTTGCCGGGTTAAAAGATTAATCACTAATGAGGGGTACGATATAGGCGGGAGTTCGGCTTACCAAATCATCGAGCAACGAACTTAAGTTCACCGTTCTTCCATCTCTTGGAATAAGCTTTAGGAACCTTTGAAGATGTATCTCAAATGCCGGAAAATTGGCCACGTTGTACCTTGTAAAGGTAGGCCGAATCAAAGCCCGGGAGTGTTCCCAAAATGGTCCGTCAGTACTGAATACGCCATCTCCTAGAAGTGGAGAGAAAGCCTTTTTTCTTAGATGATAAACCCCATAGTCCTTGAAGTTTGTACTATAATATGTTTGAAGATTTTGAGGATCGATGGTAAAGATGGTTGTTGTGCCGATAGACTCCTCAGTGTACGTGCTTCCGAGTTCATTGTGATGATTCATGATAGATTCGAGATGTTTATGATTTTTTATATTCTTCATTTTGTCAAGGAAAAGGTCGATACCGAATGGATATTTAGATGATCGCTTGGGGGGTTCTTCGCAACCATGTTCCTTCATCAATTGCTTGCGTCTTGCTCTAAGTCTTGCGGCATCAACCAGATAGCAGACGAGAAGTATAACCAAGAAGGCTCCGCCAAAATCTGAGAGGTAACCCATTACCAAAGCAATACGCTTCTATGCAGTCCTGACTGAATCGCCAGTTCAAGTTATGGATAGAAAATCAACACGGAAGTATCATTATGTGCGAGGTACCTACTACAAGTGAAGCAAAAGGTAGTAAAATTTGAGGCCAGCTTCTTATCGGCATAAAGTCACCTCTTCTTAGATTATGATTCTGCACGTTGGTGGCATATTCTTATCGCTGGAGCGATTCCAAATGATGTTGGTGAAATACTGGACACCTAACACAGCCAGCAACAATCTTACCCTATCCAACCCAACTGTTAGATCGATGTACCCACTGATGTTGGTTCGAATACTAACGGCAGCTTACATCCCGACAATCCCGGTCAATCTCATCTGCCGTCACTCGCTTTCATTAAAAGAAATGTCCCTCGAATCTATATCAGGACCATGTGTCTTTCTTTTTTGTCCGTCCATTGATGATCTGCGAAGGATGCTCCTGAAGTATAAATCACTTGCAGCACTGATAGACCTTCACCTTATCTGCTTGATGTTATACCTGTTAGATTGAAATATTTTTGAATGACACCAAGAGACTATCGTTGTTTTACCAACGTAGTCGAAATTCTCGCAAAACTGCCATGGCGAAGATTTCCCACCCTAGTACTCTGGATGATGTTCGGTTCAGATCAACACTAATCGCTCCCAGGCCGCCCCAGTTCAGTCTGAGTACGACCGCGATCTATCGCAACAATCAGACAATGCAATTGATAAGAATCTCAATTGATATCGCACAGGAAGAACGAAGGCTTCAATCGCTCAGGACTTCCTCGCAAGTGCCATTAGAATGATATATCCTGTTCTCAGGAACCTAGTCTTGTTGTGCATCGTAGAGAAATGCAGAGACCATTGCCACAAGCAGAAAGCGCAAAAAAGATCTGCTTGCTGGCGTTCTGAATGCTGAATAGATTATGAGGAACGATATGTAACAAAAGCTCCGGAACCACTGGATCGCAGCAGATTAATATACTGCAATTTCTATATCATGCTAAATCCATGACCAACCATTAGGTTCCCAAACCGGATGCCAAAAAAGACATGTTGCATATCTGATAATCCCGATTTCCGACAAAGTATTATAAAATTCCATCAATGGTCATTGTGCGGGACCGACAGAACATAAGGTTCACCATCATAATTCGAAACTCCGTCCACAACCGTCATGAAACCGACCTAGCGGCTATCCGAAAAGTATAAAGAAAAGACTTTTTGTTGCATATCTTAAATCGGTATCGGTATTTCCGCCAATATCCATTTCCGCCCGTGAGATACAATTGTTTGCTATTATGCGGATATAGCCTGGACTTTTAGATACCGCCACGAGCTAAGAAGTGGACGGAACGGATACGATGATGTTGTCGCCTCGACGAGAGTCGGTTTTGGAAAACTATTAGATATACTTGCGGGAATTAAAGATCTACTCTGTTCCGCAAGGTAGCTTCTGTATTCCAGTGAGCTTTTCCGGAAAATTGTTGTGTAAAAATCCGACGTCAAGTCAAAAATAGCATCATCGTGTCTAAAATTCCGTATCAACGGAATTCAACAGACAAAGTTGTTTCATCCTTCAACCCGGGAATCTCGCAATTTTGACTATACCCACCAGCCAAGAAACAAATCCCACCTATAGACAGCACTTAAAATCTTTTGTTGCAAATCTAGGAAATTTCAAATTCCGTGAATATCTGCCGAGACTCCTTCATGCGATGAATTCGGATCTTTGTTGTCAAGAATCAGGCGAGATATCGCCAGATATTGTTTAGTTGGCTGATAGCGGAAACCCCGTAGATAACACTTGGATGAACATTGTGGCGGTTCTAGCTATTCGTACCCACATGCTGCACTTATGAAACTCCTTCCGCTCAGAAATCTTTTTGTTGCACGTCGTAAAACCGCCACATTCCGCAGCCTCTGTGTTAGATTCTGGAATAAATGGTTAGGAAGATGCTAATGTATGAATAGTCCGTATGTGTTGGTGGAATTGTAGGATGGACGGAATCTCGGGGAATTAAGAGGAGGAAATCTAGACCTAAAAGACGGAAAGTGGCCCTATGAGATCCGCCATCAGACAATTTTGTTGCACATCGTAAAATACGATATTCCGAAACCGATAGCGATAGCGATATTTCCGCAGATTGAATCAGTGAGTAGGAGGAACGATACAGACGAAGGTGGTTAGAGTCTGGGAAAAGTGTGTAGAAAGATACTGTCTAGCAGTCTTTTCGGGGCTTGCTTATTAGCTTTCTACTATTGTGATATGATCTACCAATAAATCCTCGAGGTTTCATTCCACTAAACTCGCACCTCTGCAAGAAGATTACCGTATCTACTCGTACTTCGTACAACTAATCGGAAAATCTAACAGCACTGAGATTCTACCGAATATAGCCCGTAGGAAGAACGAACCTAAGCCCGCTCGGCCCGCCACCATCTTGAAGGAAATGGATCTTTTCTTTTTCACCATTCGGGAATATTTTTCACAGTTACGTTTATCACGCCCCCTCGGCCCCGTTCAGAGGATAGTGGCACGTATATCAGATGTTTTTGATGGAACCGGCGTTTCCGGAATTTAACAAACATCAAAATCACCGGGCAATTATAGCGTCGGAGACAAGCTAATTGCTTGAGCGGAGCGGTAGCTAACACATTCATCATATCTCGTATCTTCAATATTCCGCACTCCGTCGGGAATCGAGGGTGAAAGCCATGCCTGTGAAGTTGTATCATTAATGGTATGTCACTGCTTCATGCGAATCTACTAGGTAGCATCTAGCACAAACTGTTGTCACTTTCCGAAATCCAACCCATTCGGCTCGCAGAACTTGCAAACGGAAGATCCATTCCGTTGGTGGATACAGCTCATGATTCCAATTGAGATCATTACGATTCAAAAGTGCTTTTCATTCTTTTGTTGCATATCTTTAAAGATCCGAAAATCCGAATATTGGGTGGTTGAGACATCAGAATTTCCCACGATACTAGTTGAGGTTGTTGTTGTTGAGCCAAGTAGCAATACAGCACTACACTAACTACCTAGCTAACTCTGAAGCTCCGAAACCCCTTCATTTGATCTCGCCAATCCCGTCACCAGATTTATCACCAACACAACAAATCAACTCATCCACAATGTAAACACCGAAAACAATCTCTAATGTTGCACATCTGAATATCGCCGAATTTCAAATCTTCGGCGAAGACTTCAGTCTCCAATTCTTTACCTCCGAACAAAACAAAATAAAATCGCTACATCCGAAAATTCGGCGCTCTAATCACTCCATTTACGCTTAAAACATCGTGATATTACCCCGAATTACATATTCGATCATTATGATTGGAGGCCATAGATTCATGATTCTTTTGTTGCATATCTACTATATCCGAATTAGACCGGTCGCCGACTTCTGATTATTCCAGATAGTTTCTCACAATTTGTAATTGTTGGGTTGAGTTGAGTTGTTGTGGTGTAGTGCCAGCAGCTCGCCTCATCCGCACGGTGCTGATTTACTAGCCTAATTTGTTGGTACGCACTTACATTGTTAGAAACCCGCAGCGACCGAACTTCCGTCCATCTTTACTTAGGTACTGAGCAATGTCCGCAAACACTTCCTCGCATGCCATGCCATCGAATTAACAATCATCACCCAACTCCAACACAACTGATGCCAAAGCCAAGTTCAGCATGTTAAACCAATCATCTAATTCTCCAGAACATTTGTTGCATGTCTGTCTAAACTCCGAGATCCGTTCTTTCCATATTTTCGGACTTCAATTTTGTTGTTTTACTACAATGGTTATTGCCTTTGGTGTTTCTAAAGCTAACCCAATCTAACCCCTCCTTTGTTAAACATGGTGACATTCAAATCTCTCTAACCATAAGACCGACTCGGAGCTCGCTTGATTGATCTTCCGCCGCTCTTCGATTAACGTCCGAATATCCTATTTACGAAACAACCTTATTACCTTCTCATTTCTTTGAATCATTGGACGACATGCCTTTCCAAAATCTTCAAACCCATCTGTTGCATATCTATACAAACTCCGAGCCGGCGGATATTACCTTTCTTGCTCTTTGCATAATGTTTTCGCTCAAAATTTTACGTGATTCGGAGACAAGTCTCAAGAATTCGGCGATACAACGTGAGTTCGGAGACCGAACATTGGCGTTCCTTCCCCTCTTTGGATATCCAACAAATCAACTATTGGTATTTCCGAATTATATCATGAGACATCGGGCATTGTGTGGGAGACCTACTAATTTGGTAAGGTGAGGAGAGATGGAAAGGGTTTTGTTGCATGTCTATGTAAATCCGAAGCAATAAGATTCGGAGTTGATGTTGCCCCGACTACATGAGACTGACTAGAACAATTTTGATGTTGGGTTTGAAGGGGTGTTGAACGACTACGGAGTAAAGTCCGATATCCATAATATGCATAGTTGACGAGCTGAGATAGAAGAGCTGAGCTTGAAGATCTGTGGTCGATCAAAGAGAACATGGCCAATCGCAAAGCGGACATTGCGTTTCATCCGCAGAGCCGCATTAGTTTATCTCACTGACCCCACAACGCGTTCATTTCGTACTTCCAATAGACACATTACAACACTGCATCTATGTGTATCAAATGTTGCACATCTGAGAAATCCCGCAGCTTCGCTGTCAGATCCGCCATACCCGCAGGGTTCCATTGGTCACCTCATGCGGATCTAGATCTCATCTGATCTTCAGTTATAAGACTCAGGTAGATCTTGGGCTTGAATAAAGTACCAAATGCGGGGCAACAGGGATTGATGATTTCCCAGCTTCCTACCATTCCGGAAGTAGCGCGATGCACCTCGACGTATACACAAAGAAAGCAAAACATCAATCATGTATACGAGAGGTTTTGGAGACAGGAACATTTGTTGCATGTCTATAAAATACCGAGATCCCGGATGTAGTCAACAGAGTCAGTGACTACGTCCATTAGCAGAAATGTGG